TCCCCCCGAGCGCTCCCAGGCGCTCTCCCGGCTGCCTGCCGAATCAGGGGGTTTCGGGTTCCGGCTGCTCCTCGGTTCCGGCCCCGGCCGCCGCCCACCAGGCAGCCAAGATGGAGCCTCTGGCTGCGCCCGCGCTGAAGGGCTCCGGGCCCAGGGCGAAGGTGTTGGCGGTGCTGCTGTCCATGCTTCTGTGCACCCTCATGCTGTTTCTCCTACAGCTCAAATTCCTGAAACCGAAAATCAACAGCTTCTACGCCTTCGAAGTGAAGGATGCCAAAGGGAGAACCGTTTCCCTGGAGAAGTTCAGAGGCAAAGTAAGTTGCATCTTCTGGCTTTACCTCCGCTGCTTTTCCGTTTGGTCTTACAATAATCAGTTCTTGCCGTGAAGCAGTCGTAGCTGGACTGTGGCCTTTAACGTAGTTTCGTTAGTACATCAGTTTAGTTATCAGAATTCTGAGAGCTTATAAACTTCTTATGGATGAACTGATTGTCTTACTTTTTTCAACAATGCTTTGTGTGTCGTCTTATTTTGTCTGGAAAACAGTCTGTAAATGAAGATGTGGAAATTTATTAATAAATTCTAATCTAATATCTTATAGCACTATAGTAATGATAGTATCATTTATTTTAAAAACTTTCATGAATACCTAACGCTTTTTTAATGGCAGTAAGATGTCAATCTCCTAGACTATGGTTTTTAATACAGTTGAATGTGTATAAAGTATGAAATAATCATCTATCAGAGGTTATATTCTTGCAAAACGGTTTAGGATTTTATCTAATTGAAAGTTGGTTTGTTTGTTTTTTTGTTTTGGGGGGTTTTTTTATCTTTTGCTTCACTTTCCGGTTTTCTTTTTTCTTTTTCCGGGAGGTTACACTAGTTGTAAACGTGGCTAGTGACTGCCAGCTCACAGACAAGAATTACTTAGCCCTCAAGGAACTGTACAAGGATTTTGGACCCTTCCACTTCAGCGTCTTGGCTTTTCCCTGCAATCAGTTTGGCGACTCCGAGCCCCGCTCCAGCCAGGAAATAGAATCTTTTGCAAGACAAAACTACGGAGTAACGTTCCCCATCTTCCACAAGATTAAGATTCTAGGATCTGAAGCAGAACCTGCCTTTAAATTTCTTGTTGGTAAATATCCACTTTGCCTTACCAATATAATCTTTTTAAATTGCTTTTCAATTAAAATATGAAGTACCAGGGCCATACTTTCCTATTTCATTTGAAATGTTTTATTGGGAAATTTTCATAAAATTATCCAAAAACCAGAACCTCATCCTTCATAAATTTCTAGAAATTATAATTTCCTGTAATGTTTCAACTTCTTAGGTAGCAAAAGCACTTCTCCACCCTCTGTATTTTATTCCTTGTGACCTGCCCCCGAAAACTTACATGAATCATGGTCCTAGCTATTTTCACAGACTACCTCAATTCTCCCACTATCTAGCACTGGGGAAGTAGCCCTCCTCCTCATTAAAGGTGTGCATTTCATGAATATTACTGTACTTAGTAACTGAGCAATATTCATGATTAAATGTATGCTTTCTTATCTGAGACAGTGTCTTCTGGGATAAAGTCAATTTCTCCCAGGATGAATATCTCAGGCTTTTGCTAAAATTCAGTAACTTGACAGTTTCAGAAGGCAAGAGGGTAAGTCTTTCTTTTTAATTAAGTCACTGAAATCTAAAGACTTTCCAAGATTAATTAGCACAACGGTGGTGTGGTATATGACAGCCCAAGCATGGTCCTCAAACCCTGTAGGTGTTTTTGCTATGTGGCTTTAGGCACGTGAGTTACCTTCTCTGGGCCTGTGTCCTCTTTTGTAAAATGAAGCTGTAGGGGGCTGGGGAGATAGCTCAGGAGAATAAGCGCCTGCCTTGCAGGCTCAGGGTTCTGAGTTCAGTCCCCACTACCATAGGAAAAAAAAATTAAAAAATCTCTGAATTTTGGCCAGGGAAGTAAGAATAAGTGCTTTCCTGGCAAGCACAAGGTCCTGAGTTCAATCCCTGGAACTGCAAAAAAAAAAAAAAAAAGAAGAAGAAGCAGCTGTAAATATACCTACCTCTTGAAATTTGGGGAAGGATTAAGCATGTTAATTGGACAAGTAAAATACTTACACACCCCTTACTCTGTCCCAAACTGTAAAGGACATTCACTCAGCCAGTGCTCTTATCTAACTCATTTTGAGGACATCTTCATATCTGTTTTCTCTATAAATAATGTGAGTTTTAATAAGCCTACAGCTTAGGCATATTAAACTGCAATCCAACAAATGAGATGCTCAGTAATATTTTATATCAGCATGTAATCAAAATCCTCTAAAAAGACTCAGTTTCTAAGGAAAGTTGAATCAATGCCTGACCCATGAATATAGTGAAGTCTGCATTCCCTTTACACACAGAAGGCACTTGGGGGAGAAAAGCCAGGCTGTGCCCGTGTGCTGCTCATTCCCCAGCTACAGCGGCCAAGCACCTGGCACAAGGAATCCCAGGCCACTCCTCTGTGTCACTTACAAAGCTTGTGAAATCCCACTTATCCTGTGCAGTAAGAAGGGTAACAGTGACACGCCCACAGCGTTTCACTGAAGCTCGGTGGGGAGCGCGACAGACCCCAGAGCAGCAGCTGAGTCTGGTGAAGGAGGTCAGGGCTCGCAGCCCCGCCCGCGCTGCCCTCCGGCCCAGCCCGGGGTCTTCACGCTGTGGCCATTCCTGCCCTATAAAGTGAGGATATTCATATTCATCTCAGAGGGCTGCTGTAAAGACGAACAGACCCACTTAAAGCACTGAGTCTACCAGGCACGCAGTAACGCACTAGCCAAATTAATAAATTGCAGTTAGAATCATTTTATGTGCATCAATAATATGAATATATATAAATACCAGATGATATAAAGGGGAAAAAACC